CGATGTTTTCTTTCAAGCACGTAGTAAATCAGCACTTAAAATTGCAATTAAATCTAATATAAATAAAAATTTCATTGGTGTAGGCGGGGATAGAACCAGAGTTGCTCGCATACTGTGAAATTTACAGTGAGCGCTGAGCCGCCACGGCTTTTCCCTGATCTACCACTAACTATACGTACTACCTAGTTATAATGTGTGTTTTTATTGAAACATTATATTTTTCGTTCAGTGACTATAAAATAATACTTTCTACATTAACTACTGACAGCATAAGTTAAGTTTATAAGTGAGAAACTTAAAGCTAACAAGTAATCAATGTCCTAAACAGTTGTTAGTGAAATAAATATTTAATAGTTAATGACGATTTTTATAAAAGAAAGGCTGTCAATTATTTTCTATTGCTTGGAACATAAATAACCTTTTATAAATAAATTTATATAAATCAAACCTAAGTAAATTTTTGTTTAATAACATTCAGTGAACATTGAGCTTTTAGCTAAAAGGAAAAATATATATACATTATAACGTATTTTTTAATATGGGAATTATCCACAAACAATCGAGGTTAGAAACCTCGCGCAAAACTAAGAAACTGAGACACAACAAGTGCAGGCGCTTTAAAATACGACAAATGACTCATGAGAGAGCGAGCATCTTCAGTGAAGAGGCCCTGTAAAAGTTTTTTTTTTTTTTTACTTTTCAACGTCATCTACATCACTGAGATCTTTGTACAAAACAACAGAATGCAGTGTTTGCCCATTCTTTAGTAAAACCTCTGCACACAACACACGGCCATGTGTCTGCAAAGTTCGGGAAAGAAAAGAGCGAACGCACCACAGTACGTAATATTACACGAACTTTTTAGAACTAGCTAGGTACTTTGGCTACCCTTCATAGCTCTAAAATTTTGGACCTATACCCTTGCAATTTTGCATGTTTAATAATCAACTAAATTATTTGTAATATAATACAACCAATAAAAAGTAAAATTTTAACTGCTGAACATAGGTCTCCCCCAACGTATGCCACAAAGCACGGTCCTGAGCCACCTGCATCCATCGACTTCCTGTATGTCTTACCAGGTAGTCACTCCATCTAGTGGGGGGTCGCCCTACACTATGTTTACCGGTACGAGGCTGCCACTCGAGAACCTTTCTTCCCCATCGGTTATCGGTTCTTCGAGCTGTATTGCCGGCCCATTGCCACTTCAGCTTACTAATCCGTTGGGCTATGTCTATCACTCTGGTTTTACTGCGGATATCCTCATTTCTGAGTCTATCACCCAGAGAAACTCCAAGCATAGCCCTCTCCATAGCTCGCTGACCGACCTTGAGCGTCCTCATACGGCAAGCAGTGAAGGACCATGTCTCCAATCCGTAAGTCATCACTGGCAACACGCACTAGTTGTACAATATAGTAATATATCATCACGTTAACGTTATTAAGTATCAAAACTGGCAAGTTATTAATTATATATCAAACAACATTACCCATTTTCTTTTAAATCAATTGAAGAGCGTTGTACATTGCCGTAGTTATGATTTACTGATACCGCTATGGAACTTGGCATTGGCACCCGTTCGGATCTCAATTCTTTAATCGGCGAAGTCGACGCGATGACCCGAATGTCGTTTGTACCGATCTTGGCCCCCTATTCGTATTTCTTTTTGGTGGAATAATTTACAGTTTGTGACTTGTAACACAAGTCAGACATAGATGGAGTGACAACTTAGTAAGAGATGCAGGATGTTGATGGAATGCAGGTGGCTCAGGACCGTGCTTTTTGGAGGAGGCCAATGTTCACCAGTAGACTTGTGATGAGTTACGAATATGATGATGGTGATATCACAAGTCTGTACTTATTTATTTTGGACATTATATTATTGTATATTCAGTTTGATAAATCATTCATTGCACACAATCATGAAAACACTGCTCCAGCATACAGCGATTGGCTGCACAGCGGAGTGAGGCAAGTTGACATTCTACAATATTTAATGCTAAAAAAAAGCTATAAAAAGAATGAAATCAACGATAAGTCACAGTGTCTGTAACGTGATTTAATTTTGTGAAATATCATTCCCGTAGTTTTCTATGAACATTAACGATTGTAGAAATCCAAAATGTAAAAAGACGTGTGACGTCATGACGCTATCGGTATATCAACGACACGCGGGATGTATTAATCGCAGCTGACACGTAATACCGTGGGTAGGAACTTGAAAAAAATATATAGCACAATCACATCCACACATGTTCGACTTAAACGGACGCCTCGTTTGATGTAAGCCAATGGATCCGATTAGCTAAGAGCCTGTCGAAATTAAAAATCATGTTGTTTGGAGGTCAAGTGAGCTTCCAACTATATTTACTTACAATGTATTTACTACCCATTTCTACACAACTGTTACCGTTATAGCTTATAAAAATCCACCGCCGAATATTTGCAATAGTTGGCACTCTTGGCATGCAAGTTGGGAACTGTTAAAGTTACGGTCTACATACGTCTCATTGCTGGGCACAGGCCTCCTCTCATTTCTGAGAGGGTTTTAGGGCAAGGAAGTGTCCGCCGCGCTGCCCCAATGCGTGTTAGCGAACACATGCCGTCGAATTTTTTTTCTTATTTCTCAGACATACAGGTTTCCTCACGATGTTTTCCTTCACCGGCGAGCACGTGGTCATTGAGCACTTCAAATTGCAATTAACAATTTCACTGATGTCGGCGAGGGATCCAACTCGGTTTACTCTTGTACTGTGAAATTTACAGCGAGCGCTAACCATCTGAACTACCACGGCTCTAACTATTTAAGCTACCACGGCTCTAACTATTTAAGCTACCACGGCTCTAACTATTTAAGCTACCACGGCTCTAATTATTTAAGCTACCACGGCTCTAACTATTTAAGCTACCACGGCTCATTGGCAACTGTAATTGTTATTAGAAAGACGCTGCTGCTCATCTCGTGGTTAGTTTTTTATTATATTAAGTTAAGCCTGGTAAGCAGATATACAGTTAAGCTTGGCCAAATAATGGGTATGTTCCGAAATACAACGCAGTGTACTGTCCAATGCAAATGACGTCATGAATCGACGCTGTACTGGTGATTCGTTTCAAAACATTGGACAGTATATGACGTCATACTTTTGCGCCATTTGGAAAAGTTTTGGCGATTATTTTGTCATTTTGTGCTCCAAAAATCATTATATCCTCCTAATGGATATACCATCAATTATTCTATAATTTTTTGTATTTGAATAAATGGAAAAAAAATTCTGGCATGCTTCATTCGGCAAACACACAATTAAAAATTGTTTTGTTATGGCCGGATATCCGACACAATATGGCAGCGGCACGCTAGTACAATAAAGTGTCAAACGATACGTTATTTGCATTGGACAGTACACTGCGTTGTATTTCGGAACATACCCAATATATGCTGGTATTGGTTTACTTTCCCGTGTTCGGGGCTGGTTTTAGTGAAAATAGACATGTCATAAATATAGTCAGTTTATAAATATAGTCTACACATGCAATTATAGTAACCATGTTTATCAAATATTTAAGACTCGCAAACCGCCACAGCTTCGCCACGTGTGATTATTGGATCTCTACAACATATGCATTTATTACCACATATAAAACTTCCTCTTGAATCATTCTGTCTATCGATGAAAACCGCATCAAAATCCGTTGCTTAATTTAAAAGATCTAAGTGTACAGACGGCGGGAAGCGACTTTGTACTATGTAGATATTACAACTAGGCCCGGTTTACATTTTGACAAGTGATAAGAGCGAGTGGCAAGTGCAACTGAGAAATGAAAAGTGCATCGTGCGTGTGAACAGGCAGTGACAAGTAATAAGTGGGAATAAAATACGCACTTGTCACTCACTTCTCGCTGGCCCGGTTTACATTCTGACAAGTGATAAGAGCGAGTGGCAGGTGAGAAGTGACAAGTGCGTATTTTATTCCCACTTATTACTTGTCACTGCCTGTTCACTCGCACTAACCACTTGTCACCTGTCAGTCGCACTTACCACTCGCACTCGTCACTTCTCAAAAGGGCCTGTATTCACTTTGATTAGTGATTAGTGCAGAAGATTAATGTAGATGCTTAGTGATTGGGAGTAAACACGTGTGGACAGCGATTGATCAGTAATCTGCGTAGTAAAGTGATTAGAAGCGTGTTCTATTTTTCTGCGAATGGACTGCGAGTTTCCACGTTCATTGCGTGCTCCCTTCCCCCTCACTCACAGTATGTTCTTCACTAAACACGTCTGGACAACATAATGTTTAGTGTTTAGCGTCGGATGCTCGCTTGTGTTGCAAAAATGCAAAGTGGACCAAAGACATAATCCATAAATTTATGCAGGAGTATCTAAAAAATAAATGCCTTTACAATAGTAAATACCCTAACTGCAAAATTAGAGGAGCCAGAGATGTGGCATTTCTACATATAAGTAAAGCTATGAACATACCGGGGTTCGGAATTGAAGTTTATACTAAAATAAGAAACTTGAGATCAACATATTTGCAACAGGTTAAGAAAGTTAAACAGAGTACTTGCTGGTCAACGGCTAACAACTGAATTTACTAGACACTACTACTACACTACAGTGGTACCTCAGGGGCTAAGCGCACGCTGTAAATTTCACTGTACGCGAGAAACCCTGGTTCGATTTCGGCCAGCACCAATTAAATCATTAATTGCAAGTTTAATGTATATTAACCTAAATTAATTAAAAAATTAATTTAAACCTTTACCTTTCCACGCTTCGGAGCTAACGCTTTAGCGGACATTAGTTATGTTTGGTATATTTAAAGAACGTATGTAAGTACGTAACTTACGTTGTACGTTTTCTTAAGTATGGTAAAACTACCGTAAGTTATAACAGGGGAAAACCCCTTTAAAACAAGAAATCAATTAGAAAGATTTTCACATAAACACAACTAACACTTTAGAACACAAGCTTGTCAGTTTAAATATAAATAACACTTACCAAAGGCATTGCAGATTTTTGGACTGGTGGTTGTGGCGGAGGTCCCCGAGTTTTAACTTCGCTCGGATGCCGTTTCACAACTGGCCGATTTGGAGGAGGATCCCTCGGAGAATCCCTGATATCTGTTGAAGAATCGTGTGAAGACTCCCTCATAGCCATTGCTTCGTTCAGCACCGCTGATATGGCGCTCAGTTTATTGCCAGGCAAAGGAGATGGTATAACAGGTTTATTCTTCTCCGGTGAAGATCTCTGAGAATGTTGCGATTGTGGTGTTTGTACCGGAAATCGTGGAGCGTCCGCTTTAACTTGGCCATTGAGAGTAGTACCTGAAAAAGCAAATAGTTAATTTTGTCTTCCTGATGTCATCAATGGCAACATTAGCTTTAAAAATTTTAATAATGCCAAAGATGACGTGAATAGTTAGATGTATGGTAAAAAGTCTAAATAATCATTGTTAACTTTCAATTGTTTTTATTTACAACCAGTTTTAAATACCTTCCTTAACTTTGGACCCTTTTGGGAGAGAGGTAAAGCCCTAATATGTAATGCTACGTGCATACACACATTGGCAGCCTCTCATCTCAAAAGTACCTCGCTTATGAGTTGGGACAGTATCAGAGGCAGCTGAACTAAGTAAGTGGCTCAAATATGAGTCCATGAGAAATGAATACATATTTGTGCCATTTGCTATAGACTATTGGTCCATGCGGTGAAGTTCCTAAAGAAACTGTATCTACAACTTGTCATTGCTGCAGATCATAAGGCTGGCTTTTTTTTTTGCTTAAAAGCTAAGTATAGTTTTATAACAAGGAAACACAAACAGCATTCTTGACACAAAACCACCAAGGAAAATAGGAAAAAAAATATCTCCTTGAATTGAATTAATTAATCATAAAAAATATTCGAGATTAGAAACATTATTATACAATCTAATATAATAATATGAATATTTTGTTTACTTGTTACTTATTCATATTCTGTGAGTTTTTATATTATTCTTCTGATTACGATTAAACTTTGGGGAGCTTTTGTTCGGGCACCTGCAAAGGTTTCTGATAAAAAAGAAGTTTTGTATTGCATGCAGCTAGTTACTAATAAATTAATATTAACAATCATATGCCTCTAGTTTATTTGTGCAGTGTGTTTTCTTAGTAGTTTTGAACCTACCAAATTTTCGGTTTTTCTACCTACCGTACGAATCTTACTGAGTGACAAAAAAATGTTTTTTGAAACCTAACAGCTACTAATGTATATAAGACTGCTTTATTGCTAGATCCTTTAACATTTTATAAATTAATGATTATTTATATTATTATTAAGATCAACCCAAAATTTCAAGACTCCATCTGTAAATATTATTATGTACACTTGTTATTGATATACAAATCGGAGAGTATAGAAATGTGTATGTTTCCATGACTGTCATATATGCGTATTGTAAGTGTACTTGTTAAAGGAAATAAAAAATAAGACAAGTGAACGCAGGAAATAGAGTAAATGGGGCCTTACACACTATTGAGCCGTGATAGCTCAGATGGTTAGCACTCGCTGTAAATTTCACAATACGCGAGCAAACCAGGTTCGAGCCCCGCCGGCACCAATGAAATTGTTAATTGCAATTTTAAGTACTGATTTACCACGTGCTCGGCGGTGAAGGAAAACATCGTGAGGAAACCTGCATGTCTGAGAAATAAGAAAAAAATATTTCGAAGACATGTGAAGTTCGCCAACACGTACTGGGGCAGCGCGGCGGACATTTCCTTGCCCTAAAACCCTCTCAGGAATGAGAGGAGGCCTGTGCCCATCAGCGGGACATATATAGGCTGTAACTTTTACTTTACTTCACTCTATTGTAGAAAGCCAGAATGTGTGAAAAAAGGCATGTTTGGCAATTCACAATGTGTTGTTAGGGTATGGCAGAAGAAGCATGAGAGTAAAATAAACACAATAGAAATGCGATTGTTAAGGAGTATGTTTTTTTTTCTCTTTATTAGGGATAACAAACCATTGTACAATATAATCCTATTATTAAACACAAAACTATATTTAAGCTTAATAATCATACAATCAACACCGTTATCCACATATTACTACTGGGTCTGTGTACATAATAATTAAAATGAAAATGTTCTATTAAAAACGACCCATTCACCAATAAATACAGAGAAAAACAAACCGATTTACACATATGCACGCAAATATGCACACATATACATACACACAACACATATATTAAAGCTGAATCTGATCTAACATACTCCTTAACTGATCTGAGTGACAGTGTGAGAAATTGTGTGATAAGAGAAGAATGTGGTATGCAAGATGATGTTGTGACGAGGATTAAGAAAGGAATGCTTTGGTGGTTTGGTCACGTGAAAGAAATGAATAAGGAAAGAGTGACAAGCAAATTTATGTTGCAGCAGTGAACAGAAAAGTCGGTAAGGGACGCCCTAGGCGAAAGTTTGCCGACCAAATTGGCGATCTCTTGAAAAGGGGCGAAATTAAGAGTACCCTTAACGGACGAGCAAGTATATGTAGGTATATGGATGTGGAAGAGGCGAGAGAGGTGTGTCAGGAAATGGAAGTCTGTAGTCTCTGCCTACCCCTCTGGCTGACAGGCGTAAGTGCTTATGCTATGCTATGCTATGTAGTTATATATATATATATATATATATACACTACATATATATGAAAAATATGTATAATATTTTTTTTATGTAGTAGAGGCAGTTATATTAGTTGTAGTTAATATAACTGCAGAATGGGTAGGCTCAATAGTGGCAGGACAAACACTCTCACAGAATACCAGTGCAAAATAGCAGCTTAAGGCTGTTGTGTTTCGTATGGCGACTGGAAAGAACCACAGACCCATTTTACTGGGAAGGAGGCATTCCGTCTTAGTCCTCAGGGGTGACAATGCATTTGATTCTAAATCAAGGATAAATGTAGATATCTCTGGGCCACAGCTTCCACTTACCATCAGGTGGACTGTGTATTTGTCACCATTATTGTATAAAAAATAAATATATTACTTAAACTACACTAAATCTAAAATTTGCTATCTCTGAAGAATATTACAATAGATTCAAAAGCACATGCTTATCTTTACCTACATGTTTCCTAAATGTTCTGTTAAATAAAATGACAAGCAAACTAATAGTCTACTTAATAGTAAGTGGCTACTGCGACTCCATACATACAATGATGTGTAGTCATCACTGAGGACTAAGATGGAATGCTTCTCAGCCTGTAATTGAGACTTCTATACACTTTATATTAAAATAGAGCACAATGATACAAGCTGCCCGCTTAGTGGCAGAAATTTGTAAGAGACCAACCCAAATGAACTCCTAGGCAGAAAATTGCATTGTGGATTGCCAAACTTGCCTTTTTTGACACATACTGACTTTTCACAATAGAGTGTAGAGCCCCATTAACACTATTTCCTGTGTTCACTCGTCGTTCTATATCATTATCATAATATCTCCCATCCCTGCTAAATATGCATCCCAAATATACAAACTCATCCACTTGCTCAATCAATATATATATATATATATATATATATACATTATAAATAATATATAGTGTATCTATAGGCCAAACTCGGGTGATCACAAGAGCTCTAGCTATATCATTTAATAAGCATGTGTCTACTACAGGATAGATGACACTGACAGTCTTCGGTGCAGAACCTATATGGAGTGCAACGAGATGGTGGCCCACGTCCTATAGCAGTCACCTGCAGGGTTCACTAGAATCTATATATTATATAGCCTATTTTCCGCAATTCCACATCTAAACGCGTATTTTGCGTGTGGCAAACACTAAGTGTAAAAAAATTTAAGGAAATTAATATATTAACTCTGGCCTCTCAATACATTTATGAAAATGTAATGTACGTACACAAAAATAAAAGTAGTTTAGCGAAAATAAGTGATATTCATTCTGTAAATACTAGGAGCAGACACAAGCTGGCAGTACCAGTTACTCGACTCCACCGAGTCAGTAATTCATTCTTGGGGCGATGTATACGCTTTTACAACAAAATACCAGAAAATATACAAAATTTGTCATACACAAAGTTCAAAAATGTTATTGAACTAAGTTTGTATAAAAAGGGTTATTATAATATTAAGGAATTTATAGATGATAATAACCCTTGGGAAGGGTGATTGCTACCAAGCTATTTCAAATTTGTCTTGTGTTGTTGATTGTAAACATGATTGTAAGCTATTATTAAAAAAAATAGTCCCGCTGGGTTTCTTGCTGGTTCTTCCCAGGACAGAGGTTTTTTTTGCGAACCAGTGGTAAATGAAAAAAGTGACTTTCAATAAGTATTTTTATAATCTACATTGAATAAAAAAGTTTCTATTTCTATTTCTGTTTAAAGGCCAAAGCATCCAATTACCATCTGATGGATTGTGCACTCCTTTCTAAATAAGCATAGTAATCACTACAACATGACCACCATTGGTTATGAGACATTATTGTGACTAATGTACTAACATAATATTAATGACTCATGGAGAGATAATAATGTAAACAAGAACACAAATTATAGTACAAATACCCATATCAATAGACAATATTATGTATGTATAATATTAAAGAATTATGAATTTACTTTTCATTACTTTCTTTAGGATATTGTAAATATTATGTTAAACTAACTTTTACCCTGACCATGTTCACTTTTTTTTTAATTGGATAAGGGTGACAAGCAAGCACATAAACCACCTGATGGGAAGTGGTTGCTGTGGCCCATAGACATCTACATCTACCCTAGTTTCTGAATAAAAAGGCAGATGCATTGTCAGTCACGAGGACTAAGATGGAATGCATCGTTTCCAGTTAAAAGGGTCTCCAGTTCTCTACATTCACTATACAAAATACAAAAGCTGATATTTTACACTTGTATTCTGTGAGAGCATGGTGCTTTCCCGGTCAAGCCGACTCATTCGTGCCACAACTATACAATTAATATAGCTATGGTATGACTTTACCATGTTAAAAGCTTTGCTTAAAACTTACAAAAATACCTAGAGATCTATAATAGTGGTCTTTGGACAAGCAGTTCTAATATTAAAATACATCATTAAGCTCATTTTTTTAATATTATCTCAAAAACCATGCGCAATATTTGATAAAAATCAAATATCTACTAATTTTACATAATATAGGTCTTATTGTGTAACATTCTTTTTGTTGAAGTAAAAAAAATAAAAAAATAAGGAGAAAGAACCTGGAAAAGGTTTGTAAATTTACACAAAGTTCAAAAAGTTAGTTTTGTTCTCAACTTTTTTCAATCTATTACAGTTTATGAAATAATCATCAAAGAACCATTTATTTTATCAGTTTTTCGATTTCACAGGAAATGTCCACAATTTTCAGATAATACATAGCCTAGATTACTCCGGACATTGCTCTCGATGTGTTCATGCAATTACATCACATTTTTTAATTGGTTCCGCCATTCCGAATATTAGACCAGGCATACAGACACACATACCAAACTTTAAAAATTGTTATTCATGCCTTAATCCCTTACAGTCCTGAGCTAATAGAATGCAGAATTTTCAGACAGACATAAGAGTCTGTAATAAAATTTAAGAATTTTATTTATTATATGTATAATATGTTACGGTCAAAACTTATAACAAACTTCAGTCAAAATCACTTTTGACAGCAAAAATCAGGCAAAAGAAGTTTAGACTTAGGAAATTGGTCAATAGCACTTTTAACTGCAATAAAATATGGGGTGGTAGTGATTTTGACAAAATTATATCGGTTAAAATTGGGTTTGACCAAGAATGTTAATCAAAACTACCTTTTACTTATACTTTTAGAATTTCTTCGGCTTTAGCCTAGCCGCTCCAGCCAACTATCACTGATATTGCAAATTTTGACCAATAGGCTGAAGTTTTAATCAGGCAAAACCCCAGTCCAAAGTGGTTTTGACCAGTTATGAGTTTTGACTATGACACATATGAATAGAATAGAACAGAATAATTTTTATTCAATATAGATTACATGTAATTCTTATTGAGTCATTTTGGAAAGACATTAACTTTTTTGAAATATTTAAATGACTTATTTTTAAGCCAATTATGAATAAGTTAATTCAAAATATGCCACAGAAAATTGACAACCTTTCATTAGATTTTATTAGTGCAGCAAGTTTATCTATATAGTATACATGAACACATTAATTTGTGTAACTATCCTCATCCACAACCAGATCACCAATAGTTTGCGTACCACATATAGGTGAGGTTTACATATGGAGATAAAGTATGTGCTCCCAACACTGACCTTACATAATAAAAATAACAATTTAAAATTGGTAAATTACAATTAACATTTTAAAATTCGAAATATTTCCATTTGAAAGAATTGTATCCAAAATTTCACATATTTCTATTCATTAAAAGGTTTAACTTGATAAGCAGTAATTTACAAATTTGTTAGAAAACTGGTTTCATTTTTTTGTATAGGATAAAAATGACAAACAAGCACACAGTCTACCTGATGGTAAGTGGTTTTTGGGAGCCCTTAGACATCTACACTCGATTATGAATCAATGTGTAGATGCATTGTCACCAATGATGACAAAGATGGAATGCCTCCTTTCCAGTAAGAAGAGTCTCCAGTTCTCTACTTTTGGGTTTATACTTCATTCTACTTACAGGTTACAAATGAACATTATTGTAAAATTTGTATACAATAAAATTACATATTTAACGAAAAAGTGTTATTACTTCTTACAGTTTTTTAATGATTGAGTAGGAAATAGGAATAAATAATATAGTATGATCTCATTAATATTTAAGTTAATACATTGTAAGTCAAATTAACAACATAATGTAAATATAATAATAATTCTAATGATTGCCAATATTTGCAATGTTACCTGCAGGGTTCTTGTTTTGAACTATATTTTTTAAAATTAAGACCATATGTATATATACTAAAATAATAGCAAATAAATTGAATTGTCATTAATAATTAATTACAAACTAATAACTACTAATGATTTGTTCATTTAGTTTCTTTAGTAGTTATTAGTCATTTTATATGATAAAAGATTGGCCCTTAAAGAATTATATCATTAAGCTATATTATCCGTCACTAAATACAATTCCCATCCATCCAGGCATTACAGCCTATAAAAGTTTACTGCTAGACCATTTTACCATAGTTATCACGCTTAACAAGATGATTGTCAACTGCAGTTATTTCTCTAACCATTATTAGGAAGATGCTACTGCCCATATCCTTATTTTTTAACCTTCTGTCGCATACAACAACCTACACTGTATGTTATGGGGTAGTAGAATTCTTACACTGTAGTGACAGTGTGATATTATTTATAGACATTAAAATACAAAAGAAAGTGGTATTGAATTACCACTAAACCTGTATACTTTAGGTGCTGAAACGCTCTGATCTGTAAACTAAACTGAACCAAAAGAAAACAATAAAAAATATGAATGAACTCACCTGCTAACTTCCCTGTTGGTCTTAGCTTTGGCATTCCACCAGCAAATAACCCTCCAAGTCCTGGACCAATAGTACCTCCTCCATTTGGCACCGGTGCACCACTTTTAACACCATTTCCAACAGTTGAACTTCCGCTTGAAACACTTGAAACTTTGCCAGGTATGTAAGGTCCACTTTTGTCAACAGTAATAGTCTTTTTTAATTTTGCTCCTTGTCTAATTGAGCTTAGTAACGCACTTCTATTGTCAGAAGATCCACCTTTCGCGGCGCCACCAAACACGGGAGGTGGTGGTGGACCAGGCGGCGGCGGGGGTCCTATGGGTGGAGGCTTCGGAGCCATATCTTATGAGGCAATTAACAATGTCCCATGAGTCTGAGCAAAATGGAACTAGTGAAATCTAATATAGTCTAGCCGTTACTGAACGTTTTTATGTTTATAGTGGCGCACGATGAAGTCTATCGACGGTCGATACGTCACTCCACTCTTATCCATGCTAATTTACATAAAATACACAAGAGCCTTGCCCTAAAACATTAATCATGGTAACAAGTACGTAGACACTAGAAATTATTTTAACTAGGGTCACCTCATTATGTCCTCTCAGAAGAATTTACGTTAGTATTATAAAACCTTTGTGTATTGAACAAGAAAAATCTAAAAGCTGAACTGAAGCCGTATTTATAGGTTTATATCAAAAGATGTACCTAGTACAATACAATACAAGTGAATGAAATTAGTCAAATTCACATTTTGCAACATGGCCGCCCACAACTGTCACTGCCAGGGCTGCCAGGCTATTAACCATAAATAAATAGATATGTGGCAAGCTAGTATTATCTAATATTTTATTTACAGAATATTTAAGGCTTCTAAAAAACATTTTTTAAAATATGCATAATATTCAATTTGACCCCAATGGAAACTTAATATTGAGGAGGTTAGGAACAAAAAGTGTCATTTACAGTTTTTAACTTTTTGAGTAAATTGAGAAAATAAATATTCAAGTTGATCTAAGCAATTTTTATTATTTCTTATTAATCATTTATGTGTCAATAATTGTATAAAATTTAATTTATTATAAAGTTATCTTGCTGGTTTTTAAATTTGGAAAAAAATAAATAAAATACATATCAAATGACACCCTTTGATCCAATATCCAATAGCTTGTAAATGTCACTATTTGATTCAATAATTTTGTAAAATGTCATCTTTTAAAACTCACTGTCTAAAAAATTATGGAGTGTTGAGGTAAGGAAAACAATCTCTCATAGCAGAATAGTTGAAAAAGTGTCCATCTGTGAGCAACAAATAACAGTTCAAAAACTCTGCACAACAGCGCAGGAGTACGAGTAGCTACAGGAAACAGCTACATGAAATGAACTTAGCAGTTGTCGACGGTGTGAAGTGTGCTACTAAACTGCTCAGTAGTTCTAAAATCAAAAATATTTTTATTTAGTAAATATAACCTCGAAAAAGTCGTCTATACCACTAATATTTTTCAACGCGTTCTTTAAAATTTACCCCGTAGCTGTAGTAGCGCCACTTTTATTTAATGGTTTTCCACGTACACTTTTAAATACACAGTCTGTACTCTTTACCTCTACACTCCATTTAAAAAATGTTACCTTATGAAACATTAAGTACGAAAATAAAAATAAAAATAGATTCACACAAAACATTTTTATTTCTTAATATAATTCTCCACAATCAGAATCCAAACAATCACAACGATTTTTATTATCTTCACTGTCATTTTCACCGACATTACTTTCATACAAAATATCACAATACCATTTTAATGAAGCCTCATTTTCGTCTTCTCCAAACTGTTTTTTTTTTTTAATAAACTTTCAACATCCTTCTTTTAGCACCTTTGATAAAGTGTCCCAATTCTTTATCAACTAAATAATACATTGCTGAGGTTAATTTTCCGCTTTAAGAGATTTATTCCCTTTTATTCTTTGCTTTATTCTTGTGTATTACTCTGAAATTTAAAGTTTTGAAAAGTTTTAACTATTGCTTCAGTTCCATTTCTTGTAATCTTCTTTTGTAAGTATATGTTCGTTTTACATTTCTATCTACTTTTTTTTTAAATGTTTATCAAGACTTTTAATATAACCAAGTACTTCCAGTCTTTACCTAAAAAATGTACTCTACCATGCTGAAATATTATTTTTGTTAATGTTCTTTAGTGTTTATCACTGTCACTTTTCTGAGGTCTTATTCTATTCGCTCAAAACCAAGACCGGCTGGCAAAAAACTATATCCCCGAACAGGATATACAATCAAAATTTCTTTTATAGATGGAGATGACTTTTTGGCTAACCAGAAGATAAGTGTGTCAATAATAAATGAGTTTTTGTTTTGACCACCACATCCAATGATATTATAAGAAAAAGAGGTACCTAGTTCGTGTTTTGTTTTTGCACCGAAAATGCCGTTATATGTGATGAGATTCTGCACAAACTACACAAGAAAGGTTTTCAAAGATCAAAAGGAATCATATTTCATTCCTTTACTATTTCCTTAATTTATTTTCGTATTGTTTACGAATTCAAAAAATTATGTTTTTTAAAATATATTGTCATAAAAAATAGACAGGGATAAAAATACCCCAATGAGTGAGTTTGAAAGAGAAGTGACATTGTTTCTGATCAAAGAATATAAAAAACAGATAGGTCTCTTCTGAGTATCGTAATTCAAATTGTGTACATATAGTTCATGTTTTACTGAAGAGTAAATTAACTATGTCATTATTAATAAATTAGTTCAATTTATTTGCTTTGTAGCGTAACGAAGTGGTATATACGTTCGTATATAAATAATTATTACACTTTATTTGATAATAAATTTTTAATAAAATCAATCTTTTTTATTTTCCTACTTTTTAATGCATTTTTACTACTTTAATATTTTTCTACGTGCACTCATGAGTGAATCGCGTTTTAGGCATAAATGACAGTGTACGGTATAATATCTGATTAATTGTTCTGCATCATTCCTACTACACAAGACCATGCACTGTCGCAAATTACATTTGTCTCTTTTACGCTTGCGAAAGTTTAATAATGTCATCCTACTTTGACGTCTAATCGTAATGTAGTGTGCTATTAGAATATTTAGTTATTTATGTGTGCGTTAGTGTGCCGTTTTTTACACCTTTTTACTTATAATATCATTGACCACATCCGTCACAAATCATGCGGATACTGTCTATGTTTTCTAAAGAACTATTCTGCTTGAGACTATTTAAATGATTGAACAAGGCAGAACCTACTTCCATTGAGCTTCCTACAGCCATGTCTTCAGTCCGAACATAAGTGCTGTTCAATTTTTTGAAGATGATACACGCGATTTTCCTATACTCTCCTATACAAAATCACACAGCATTTATGTACGGTACTGTATCCGGTTTGAACCGACCAAAGACTCTTCAAACGTATTTTTTAAGAATATGTTACTTTTTGAATTCAAGTCTTAATAATCACTGTGATTGAATGAAATTTTTTGTTTTTGTTCTTTTTGTTCCGGAAGCAGCAGTTCAGATCGATTTTCCTATAAAACTTGTAATTTTTTGAACGAAATCTTGCGGGTTACAGACAGTATTTAACATTTTGAACCAATTAAAAAAAAACGAATGAAGCAAAAAACGTAAATATCACTTTTTGTTCCTAACGTCCTCATATATAATATGTTTATTTATTTAATTTATTTATTTTATTCTTTATTGCATCCTTAACAAAAGAATACAAAGGGCGGACTTAATGCCTTGAGGCATTCTCTACCAGTCAACCCATCACCAATATGTGTTTATTTATGTGTGATTTCACAATTTTAATGTAGCACAAAGAACACAATTACTCTCTAGCTCTCTACATGTAGAAAATCTTTGTGTATTCAAGCAACTGGAGAGGCCATGCGCGTTAATTCCTAAACAAAAAGTCTGTCAATTTCAGGAGGGCGCAAGAAAAACACACTACAAATGCAAAACTGAATCGCGTCACTACACATACACTACAGCATTTGTGTTCGTTTTCATTGCATTTACGCGCACCATCAAATTGTACACGTGTAGATACACTGGTGCCGCTGTTTACATGCGTAAGCAACGTAAGACGAGGACGATGTCGATATTTTTATTGATATACAAAAGATCAGTTCGTTCGTTAGTAAAAGTGTTTTTAATATTTTTTCATTTATTACCTACAGCCTTTCTCAATTTCGCTGCTGAACATAAGCCTCCCCCAAGGGGTACCACAAAGCACAGTTTTGATCCACATGCATCCATCAACTTCCTGCATGTCTTACCAGGTTGTCACTGTATCTATTGGGGGATTTCACCCACCGGTACGAAGCTGTCACTCGCAAACCTTTTTTCCCCCTATCGGTTTTCGGTTATTCGAACTACATGGCCGGCCCATTGCCACTTCAGCTTACAATCCGTTAGGCTATGTCGGTCTCTCTGGTTCTACTGTGAATATCCTTATTTTTGTGTTTATCATGTAGAAAACCCCGAGCATAGCCGTCTCCATAGCTCGCTGAGCGACTTTGAGCTTCCTCATACAACTAGTAGTGAAGGTTTTTTTTAGTGTAGTATAAAATTATGATTTTATTAGTAAATATAATTATGGCCAGTTTTTGAAAGACTGATCAAACTCAGATTTTAATTCAAATTTAATCAAAAAGTTGGCTATGGGTACTTTTCACGTTGTGTTTATACCGACCAATAAAAACACTAATGCCACAGTAGTTTCATCGGAATAATCGGATATAATATCAAACCCGTAGTCAACATAGCTATAATGCCTTTGGCTGCTAACATGGTATTTCATCAACTGCTTAATTTTCATTACATCCATGGCCAAGGTAAAACATTTTTTGCTATCAGAGTTACTCTCCGCTCTTAATTTTAATGCTGTTAGCGCTCTTAAGTAAACCCCAGTCGGCCATTGAAGATACCGTACCACTTAGTCAATGTCCGTGGTGTAGGCGAACATGTTCCAAAAGTTTTAAGTACATAGCGATAGGATTTTCTTTAATAATTAAGTGTTAGGCCGAAACATCTTAACTCTGAGAAATATTTAGTTCTGGGCAGTTTTCAGACTTGCTTTTATATAATTGTCTCTTTAAAAGTTCGCTTTCTTCAGTTCCTATCTTTTCTAGTACCTGTTTGTCTTATTTATTTATCAAAGATGTCACTGCCAGCGAATCTAGTATTTCTTGAAAACTTGTAACTTTTTCCTTTAAATACCGTTACTGCCATTGAAACATTTTCATGCTATTGATTTTTATTTCGAGGCATTTTTTTTAGTTTAATTTTCCTTAGTGTACTGTCTGTT